AAGGAGCTAGAATTCTTTACCGAAACCTCCCCGAACATTATCGAAGCGTTAATCGGAATCAACACCAAGCTACAGCAACACGACGCCGCTTGGGGCACTCTCATTATTGCGAGAGAGCAGTACGACGTCAGCAAGCATGAGGAATGGTACGAGCGCCTGGGCAGATGGCAAGAGGCACTCAACGCGTATGAGAAGAAAGCCCAAGAGGACCCAGACGCACCCGACGTCCAGATCGGGCGTATGAAATGTCTGCATGCACTGGGTGAATGGGATCAGCTTGCCGCTCAAGTAGATGAGAATTGGTCAAATGCCAATCACGAAGACCGCCGCGAAATAGCTCCGATGGCTGCTGCAGCGGCATGGTCGCTTCGTGAATGGGATTCAATGGATGATTATATCGCTGCCATGAGAGCCGATTCTCCGGATAGAGCGTTTTACAAGGCTATTCTTTCTGTACATCAGAATCAGTTCCCAAAGGCTCTCAAGGAGATTGGCAAAGCAAGAGACTTACTCGAGCCGGAGTTGACTTCCTTTGTTGGAGAAGGATACGGCCGATCTTACAAGTGAGTTAGGCCTTGTGCCCTGAGTTTTTCATGTGCTAACATAGTTCAGCACTCTTGTTCGCGCGCAGATGCTCTCGGAGCTGGAGGAAATTATTGTATATAAACAGTATGCAGATCAAACCGACCGCCAGGCAGCAATGCGAAAAACTTGGATGAAGAGGTGTGTATTCGAAACATGTGCAATACTTGCGCTCACCCTTCTTCACAAGACTGCAAGGCTGTCAACCAGATGTCGAAACCTGGCAGCGGATTCTGCAAGTTAGGGCCCTTGTCCTCAACCCAGAGGATGATCCTGTTATGTGGATCAAATTCGCGAACCTGTGCCGCAAGTCAGACCGTATGGCATTAGCAGAGAAGACGATCAATTCATTGCTTTCACCAGAAAGGGTGCGTGAATGACAACGGTAATATATTACAATGATTCCATTTTTTGTTTTGTTTTCAGCTACAGCATCTTCGAGACGACCAGCACATGAAAGCTCCTCCAAACGTTGTCTACGCACAACTCAAATACATGTGGTCCACCGGCGCTCGTGAGGAAAGTCTCAACTTCTTGCGGCAATTCTCTGCAAGCCTCGCGAGGGATTTGCAGGTGGAATCTAAGGATCACTCACAAAGATCTGGTGTTGGTAAACCTAAGTTAGATGAACTCTCACGTCTTCTCGCTCGTTGTTACTTCAAACAAGGGCAATGGCAAGTAGAACTGAAGGAAGATTGGGGCGCTGTACGTGGGTTGATACTAGTCATATCTCTTACTCACCAGCTGGTCAGCGGAATGTCAAAGATATACTGCATTCGTACCTTCTGGCAACCCACTATGATCCCAATTGGTATAAGGCCTGGCATACGTGGGCGCTGGCTAATTTCGAGGTCATTGGCCATCTGGAAAGTCAAAAGGAAAGCACGGCTGTCGACATCCCTGGGAGTGGGCTTGCTGCCCATATCGTGCAGGCTGTTCAAGGTCAGCTTGTTCTTTCTAAAGTTCAGGTTCCCACTCACTCTGAAATAGGATTCTTTCGCTCAATTGGCCTCCGAAATGAGAATGCTTTACAGGATACTCTTAGGTTACTCACGTTGTGGTTCAAGTTTGGCGCACACGACGATGTCAGTCAGGCTATGGCCAGTGGCTTCTCCGTGGTCGAGGTTGATACGTGGTTGGAAGTCATTCCTCAGGTGAGCGCAGATTAGCATTAGACCTGTCTCTCGTTGAAATATTCCCTTAGATCATTGCCCGCATCCAAACTCCAAGCATTAATGTGCGGCGAAATATCAACAACCTTCTTACCGAAGTCGGAAAGCATCACCCCCAGGCTCTTATATATCCATTGACTGTGGCTTCCAAGTCCTCCAGCATATCTCGGAAGAATGCAGCCCTGGCCATTATGGACAGAATGAGAGAACACAGCCCTATCATCGTGGAACAGGCACTTGTCGTCAGTCATGAACTCATCCGAGTTGCCATTCTTTGGCACGAGATGTGGCACGAAGGTTTAGAGGAAGCCTCTCGTCTTTTCTTCAACGACAAGAATCCCGAGGGGATGATTGCGACTTTGGAGCCCCTCCATGAGATGCTCGAAGCTGTAAGTGCACTCACTCGAAGTTTATCAGAAAAGTTGCTCATGCATCACGGACTAGGGGCCAACAACAGCTAGGGAGACATCATTCGCGCAGACATTTGGCCGCGATTTGCATGAAGCTCGGGAGGCTTGTCGGCGGTACCGTGCATTCGGTGAGATGTCAGAGCTGAACAGGCTTGGGACATCTACTATGGGGTAAGACTTTGGGAAGCAGATGATCAACTCTGTTTGCTTATCTTTCGTGTCCTTTCAGGTCTTCAGAAAAGTAGGAGAAACAGTTACCTCAATTGACGACCTTGGACCTGCAATATGTGTCACCGCAACTGCTAAAAGCCCGCGATCTTGATCTGGCGATGCCCGGTATGTACCTTGGATTTTACTTTGGTACCGCATTGTACTCACTGGCCGACTTAAGGAACATATCAGAGTGGTCGAGACGTCGTTCGCATTGCATCATTCGCTACCAAGCTCACTGTTATAGCTTCCAAGCAGCGGCCACGGCGACTATCCCTGAAGGGCAGTGATGGCCAAGACTACCAATATGGTTTGAAAGGTAACAGAACAGTTACCCCAGCACTGCGACATCGCTTATTCCTTTATATACAGGGCACGAAGACTTGCGTCAAGACGAGCGTGTTATGCAGCTGTTCAGCCTTGTCAATACCCTTCTGTCTGTTGACACCAATAGCTTCAAGCGACGCTTACAGCATCCAACGTTACTCTGTCATTCCATTGGCACCCAACGCCGGTCTCTTTGGCTGGGTAAAGGACAGCGATACTTTGCATGTCCTTGTTCGCGACTATCGAGACTCTCGCAAAGTTCTTTTGAACATAGAGTATCGACTAATGCTTCAGGTATTCATTACCATTCAAAGGGCATGTCTCATCTGCTGATATATCCCAGATGGCACCGGACTACGAGAATCTAACGCTACTGCAAAAGGTTGAGGTATTTGAATATGCCTTAGAGAATACCACCGGTCAGGATCTTTATCGCGTCCTATGGCTGAAGAGCGCAAATTCGGAGCACTGGCTTGAGCGCCGTGCGACCTATACTCGCTCTCTGGCAGTGAATAGCATGGTTGGCCATATTCTGGGTCTCGGAGATCGCCACCCGTCTAATCTTTTACTGGAACGCACGACCGGCAAAGTTGTTCATATCGACTTCGGTGACTGTTTGAAGTTGCTATGCACCGCGAGAAGTTCCCCGAAAAGATTCCGTTCAGACTTACTCGTATGCTCACACATGCCATGGAGGTAATTTGTATAACAGACCGTAGGCATTCTCAAGCTCACTGACGTTGCAGATAAGCGGCATTGAAGGAAGTTTCCGGCATACCTGCGAAATTACCATGTCCGTACTGCGCGCAAACAAGGAGTCCCTGATGGCAGTCCTGGAGGCCTTCGTTTATGATCCCCTGATCAACTGGCGGCTTATGCAAGCCGACGTCGATTCACGCCGACCAGAAGGTGTGCCTCACTTTATTATCATTATTCCGACTGTCTCATGTGAATAGCAGATGGGGAAACCGATCCTGTTCGTGCTGCTGAGCTTGCTAAAGTATCGGGATTTCCTCAAGGTCCAACTCGCAAGCTGCGCGCAGATGAAAACGATATTTTTAACGGTAGGCATTCAGCGCACGCCCTGAAGGGAGAAACTAATTCTCTTGCAGAGGTTGTCGGGGGACCTGGAGCGAGGCAAGAGGTCCGGAACGAACGAGCATTACTTGTCTACAACCGTGTCCAGCACAAGCTCACAGGTCCATCCTTTCCCGTGTGTTTGCACCTTGCGTTACTGATGATTTCTCTCCATCGATAGGGCGTGACTTCAACCTGATATCGTCCTTCCCGTTACTGCTCAAGTGGATAAACTTATTTTACAGGCCACCTCACTTGAGAACCTCTGTCAATGTTTTTCTGGATGGTAGGATGAATTTGTTGTCTTGAATGTATTGAGCTCAATTATATTTCATAGGTGTGCATTTTGGTAGCCAGTGTCTGTTGTCCCGTCGATCTCACATAGATATCCACAATGTTCTACATTCTGTACCTATACAATAGCCATCTGCATGTTTTCCCTCTCTTACCAAACGTTCGACCCTTGAAATTTTGAAAGCTTGAGAGACCTCGATCAGTCAACTGCCGGCAGAAGCCGATCCATACGTGATGATTTCAGAAGGACTACATCCATTACTTATCCCATACTACTCGCACTTGTTCCTCTCACTTTCACCTGCACAAACTAAATACAGTACCATATGCCAAGGGGAATACCCAACGCGAAAAAAGATGACTCTGGTATGCGGTACACATCCATGCATGTGCCCCTGGCGTACGTGACACCTGCATGATTGTATTCGAGTGTTGATAATCGTGTCAGGCCAAACCCTAAGCATGTGGGCACTTCTTACTTGAAATCGGAGACACAGACCATTTGGTCGCGTAATGCAGCACGAAAGAAAGAATTGATGGCAGAGGAAACTGCTCCTTCATCAGAACAGCGGTGGGCAATTCGCATGATTGGACTGGTCTTTCATATGGTAATGCTAAGCTGCTCAGAATAGGCGTGGCTCTCACGTTATTGTTATCCACCCTGGATCGCGTTTTCTAAGAATCGGCAAGGCGTCGGATGTCACACCTGCGTCCATCCCAAATGTTATTGCGCGTAGGCACAAGCCACCGGTGCCAGTTCCGACATACGTCGAAGGTATTTCCCGTCCGAGAAAAGGGCAAGTGCCACAGCTATCCGTGTCTGCGAGTCCCGACGGAGACGAATATGCGGTCGATATCACTTCAGATGATCCTGTATATGCATTTCTTCCTTCACCATGCCGCATAGTGTGCTAAAGTGCCTATATAGTTTGATGCCAAAATGGGGTCAATTATTGTTTCTCTTCGCGAGCGGATGAGGTTCTACAAACTCCGCGTCACATGTAACGCTGCAAGGGTCGCGTCGACCTTTAACGAGCAATTCAAACCTGAAATCATCCCGGAAGTTAATGACCCGTTCCTTGTCGACTGGATCCAGGACCCCTTAGAAGATTCAGAAGTTTTAGTTGGCGAACGAGTATGTATCATACTTTAATTATAAGTGTTATTCTCTCAATCTTTCGCATTAGGCACTCCGGTTGTCCGATCCTCAACTCTTGAATTATTCAGTGAAGTGGCCGATCCATGGAAAGAACTTCAACACCAGGGATTATCCGTCACACCAAATGATACTGGATGACATTGAAACTATTATCAGCACTGTACTGAGTGAGAGGTTCAACGTAAGACGGCTTGATTACAAGGTTCGCCATCTTTCACTCCTCGTATAATTGGTATCAATCAATACCACTAGGACTATTCTGTTGTTCTTGTTATCCCAGACTTCTATGAT